CAAACTTATTTGAGACGCGCCCCCTTTCGACCATACAAAAAATTCCTCGCCCCCCTCCTCCAGTCAAGATTATTTATTGGTCGTATCGAGCAGTCTGGAATGCATTCTCTCAGCGGTCGCAGGTTTCTTACAGATGGCCCGCGCCCCCACTTTGGGAACCAATGACCTACACAAAAGACGTGGAAATATGTATAAGGTGCTAGACAACAATTCTACGTAATGCCAGACAGTGTATTACTTTTGTAGGTTTTCTCCTACATGTAAAGCGTGGCAATATGTTTAAAGATGCTAGACAGTAAACTACTCTAGAGTAGCATACTGAATTAAAGGTTACAATAATGTACCAACAGCAAGAGGCAGTGTGTCCGGTATATGCCAGACAGTTGTATACCAACCGGCTGTAGAACGGTATATTATGTGAATACCGTGTTTTATCAATCAATGAAGGGCTATGTGTTGTGTCCAGCAGAGGATTGAATGGAATTACTGGAAATGACTGATAAAAATTAAAGAAAGGATATGAAGAGGTACCTATTTACTAGATAAAGTAAATAAGTTATGCATGGCATAGAGGAAATACATATGGATGTGAATTTTTTTCATATTTTTATGAAATTTATCAAAATGTTCACCATTGAGTGACATTTTAAAGGATTTAAAACTATTTCTAAATAAAAACAATATTTTGTCATTCTCGTACAGTGATAAGAACTTTTTTACTATGGGAATGACTGAATATTGTTCTTTTATGTTAAAAATTATGATTTTGAAGGGGCCATAATATTTTATGTTAGTGTACTAAGTACTAACTATCATCTCATAAAAACTAACAAATTTATGTTATTTGTGTGTTTATTCGTAGATTTAATGTTTATTTAGCCTGTTATTGTTAATTTAAATATTATACTTGGTATAGTACATAGTTTATTGTTATTTAAGTCAATGTTTTAGCAAGTAATTCGTTAAAAGCTAAGCAGATTGATTTTTACATGAGAATAAAAGAAATTGTATACAACCAAGTTAAAGTAAAATATGATTAATCAAACAACAAAATTAAAATATGATAAATCAATTTGTGTTAAATTAGAGAAACAATAAAATTGTATTTTTGCTATTTAGTCCAGCCTAGGATGCGTGCGATGATAAAATTTCATCGACGATTTTAAACGACAAACGTATGGTTTTCTCGCGTACAAACGATAAAATGGCGCGATAAAAGCTTATCGCGGCGCGCATTCTAGACCTAAAGTACGGCCAACTAGCAGCGATACAAAAGGTCGATACGACTGTCGAGTTTACAATATATTCTGTCTCTTCCCATCTTGTGTATTTGTCGTAATGTCTCGTTCTCCCGCCAAAATATGTCAGTCAGACGGGTTCACCCATGACATTGGGTTTGTTTACATTTGGTATCGCTTCTCGTTGACCCTACTTTACATATGTCTTGGTTAAATACATCTCTCTTATCCATCTTGTCTAATGCCAGGTTTAGACTAACAATAAATTGATATCCGCCAGCAATTTACACAGTGGTGACAGTTTGCGGAAGTCAACTTCTGCAAGTTTCATTGCTAGTCTAAACCTTGCTTAAAAACCATGAGCAAGCGCCTTCTCCACATTACTAGGATCGCCAGTTAAAATTATGTAAGTTATTGTAATATTTCGTTTATAAACTATGTTTGTTTATTCTAAGAAATCTTTCGTCTAAGCAAAATCAGTGATATGTTATATCCAATATGGCAGCTACAGCGTTTGCCACTTTGAAATATACTTAGCTTTAATTGTTAAGTTTATATGTTAATTAATTTATTATATTAGGCGCCGTATATAGGATGTCCGTGTTATTTTTATGTAATTTTACCAAATGATATTGATGTATTATTGTTTAGGTATAATTCGTAAGGCTAATAGATAAATGTGATTAATCATGTTTTGTTTTCTTCTAGCCCATTGAGAAGGCAAATAATATGTGTCGTCACTACGTTCTAATGCTTTAAACAATTTTAAAATGTTTTAACTACCTAATGGGCCTAAAAAAAGAAGCATCATTCGTAATTGAATTATTTATTAGTCTTACGACAAAAACTAGATATTTAGCGTAAATATAGATCCCAAGTGCCTAAATGCGGCCTTCAATTGAGCGCTAGTTGCAATGGCGGAGTATTGAGTATATTTTGTAATAATTTACGTTAAGCTGTTACATGTTCTAGTTGTAGTATGGTATATTGTAGTGAATAAATGTAAATAAAAGATGCGATGGTTTTATTTAAATTACCTTATTAAAGTTCAGTTTTTGAGTAAAATTTAGCCCTGATAGATAAGGTTTTAGGTTGTTTTTTCTTTCTTCGTCATAAATAGTAAACTATACATCACAAATAGAATTTTAAATGTTAGTTAAACTGGTTAAACCCTTTTAAAGAAAATTGGGTTTTCGGAAAAAAAATGCCGTAATAGGTAAGGTTCTAGGTTTTTTTCTTTTCTTCGTCATAAAACGAAAACTATACATAATAACAATATTTAATAATTTATAATCTGTTCAGTCCTTGAAATATTGGAGGGTAATCGCATATTTGCGTCGCCAACTTTATTTTCCTACCTTCATTCAAGCCTCAGTTGCCCGGCGACGCTCAATGCGCACACTCGTGTGTCGCGGATTCTCAGCACGTCTATGAGTGACGTTCACTCCTTCGAAAGACCGAGTCTTTTGCGTTGTTCGCGAGTGTAGCGGTGCTCCTAGTGCCATCATCATCATCAGCTCCGAGGATACTCTACAGTGCTCCACCGCCCAGAACGCAGTGAGTCTGCAGGTTGGCTTCCGTCCGTGGTGGGAGAAGACTTTCAGGTAGGAGAAGCTCAGATTTGTCTCTGTATTGCGAGGACTGATAGGCTTGAGTTATGTAGGATACCAAAAAACTGGACTGGTTTTATGCGGGACACTACGAACGGGATTTTCGTGTGAAAGTTAGTACACATTTTGAAACACGTGTTCAACTACAGTGTCAGGATCCTGCAAAAAAACGGGATGGGATGGTTCCATGGGAAATAACGCTAAAAGGTTTCGTTTTTTCCTTTTAAATTATTATCTATCAACAAGCTGGCCCGGTGAACTTCGTACAAATCGGTCCAGCCGTTTAGGAGTTGTGACAAAGACGTCCAGAAGAATTACATAGATATAAAATTCTCTCGTGTCAGGGTTTGTAACAAATGTCCTCAGGAACGGCTAGACCGATTCTAACCAACTGAGATCAAAATAAAAGACAATAATATTGCTTACAAAATTTATTACATACAAAAGGCACTTTAACATCGGTCTTATAATACTGTTCTCTTGCGTGACAATCATTGTGATGATATAGACAAAATCAATTGGTACATACTGTACAGTTAAAGACCGAAACGAAATATTTTATAAGAAAGAAGCCGTGGCGAAGCATATTTTATTTTTTCCATAAATAGAGAGAATAGTGATGGAGAGACACAGTGTAGTTGTTTAATAGAAGATATGACATCATTTTTAGAATATGAGAATCAAAAGTCTTCATTTAGTTAGTGGCAGGTCAACCTATCACTTGCCATTAGATTTTAAACTTTATAGTTAGGTATTAAAGTTCAAAATCAATTGACAAAACTAGCAGAATCAACCCTAAAATAAAGGTTTATATAAAAATTTAACTATATAAAAACAAATACGTTCGTTCCAGTCTGGCGTAGCACGCATCAATGACAATAAATAAATTTGCCTAGCCTAAGTGTGCACTAAATATTTATTATTTTCAATAAAAAGCAAAATGTTCGTGCTGACAACGAAAAATGGGCTAAAATGGCGCGTGTATTTTATTTATAAAAAGGTTAAAAAATCTCGGAATGTTTTGTAAAAACAATATTTAACTTGCATTAGTTTAGTGCCTAATTTTATTATGCGAAAAAGCATTTTAATTATAAAAATATAGTCTTACATTACAACGAACGGGTATAAGGCTAAAATATATAAATATGTACAAGGAATTGACATCTTGCTACACCTCACATACGTGCAGGTACTTAAAATAATAAATAAGTTTTATATTGAGTTTGTATAAAAATCTCCACTTAAAACCCGCAAAGATTTTTTAAATAAGTAAAAAATAAGGAATATATAAAAATGCAATGTTTTCATAAAAAAAAATATTTTGCCAAAAGATATTTAAAAATCTACATCTAATAAAACGGAATGAATGTTGAATTTCTGAGAATATACAGTTTGGTCCGCTTATTTAAAACTTTTTAATTTAAATAGGTACAGAAAATAGTTATTGCAGTTCTCAACGTTATAGAGATTGTAACAGATTCAACAAAGTTGAACAGTTCAACACGTTGAAAATCAACTTTATACTATGTTTAAATAACAATAGTACTTAAAAATACATATTAAACTATGTATGTATAAATATAAATATTTTATAAAATATCTGTCCAGCTTTCTATTATTTTAATATTTATACACTTTAATCAAGGCAAAATATGGACTGAATTTATTATTAGTTACTTTTTTACACATTTTTGAAGTCATACAAAATACACAAGTGTGTACGACAAAATTTGGAAGTCCTTGCAAATACTTTACTAAATGCTACATTCAACATAAATACTTGCTATATTGTGTAGATATGATGCAAAAGCTACCAAAGTCTGGCAGAAAAAAATGAGTATTTTTTAAAGTAAACCTGTTAATTTTTGCTGCTGGCTGACAATAGTGACCGAGTTTCTTGCGCTGCTTCTTCTCAGCACTGGTCCATTTATTGTCCCGAAGCAGTGGTAGGGTTAATACTGGGACGTGTAAAAGTACTTTTTAAAAGCCAACTAGCAAAAATAAAATGTGTTTTATGAGTTTTTTATTACGTTTCGTCGGTTTGTTAAAGTTTTAATATACACTTTTCAAGGACTAACATTTCTCATACACCCTGTATATTGTCTTCAAAAAGTGCTGTGACATGCTCACTGATTAGTAAACAATATAACAATTCTGGCAACAATTACATAATTTATTATAAGTAAGTAGTTCTAATTCGGCGAGCGCTCGCGTTCGATGTAATTCTTGATATTTATGTAATCAATTTAAATTAATTTTGGATAATTTTTTGCATGGAGTTTGAGAGATTTTTGACGTCAAAAATCTCTCAAACTCCATACAAAAAACACCGGTTATCGTTATAGTTACGGTTAAATTTTTTGCAATACCTAAACACTACTCGACATAATTTTGAATAATTTCGTCCCAAATTATATTATTATGTATTTTGTGACTTTAAAAATACGATTATAATGTTTCTCTTTTAAAGTCAATTTTTGGCAACTTCTTACCAAACTTACTTGATTTTGATATTATTTTTTTAATTAGTCATGAATGTAGTTGATGCTTCAATCAAGGAAATAATTCTCAACACGAGCGCTCATGCCTTCGAGCCCTCTCTTCTCCAGGAGTCTTTAGTCGTACCTGTGGACAAAAGCATATATTTAAAACACCATGACCACCATTATTACGACACCATGCTGAGTGGATACCTTTTCAGTATCATTGTTTTGTTACCTACTCATCAAATAATTTTAAGCATTGTAAGTGTATTGTCGATGATACTGAATAAACATTTTTTTCTTTCTTTCTTTCTTAAAATGAATGAAGTTAAACTTGAAGGGGGAGGCTAGGAATAAGGGGTTTGCTAGGGGTACCTAAAATGTTGGTAGGCAGCTAGTAGGGGAAGGCTAGGAGCGAGTAGATGTTTTCTAGGGGCCAATAGGTGAAGGCTAGGGACTAGTAAGGCGAGGCTAGGGGTAAGTAGGGGGTTCGCTAGGGATACCTCGAAGGTGCGGCAATTCACTCCACATAGTACGGGGGTTGACACGCTTCACGTAGTTAGCGGGCAGCATGCCAGTGCGGCTGCTAGTAAGAGAAGGCTAGGTAGGAACGAGTAGGAGGTTTCTTAGGATTCGCTAGGGATTTCCTAGGAGTGAGTAGGGGGTTTCCTAGGAGTGAGTAGGGGGTTTCCTATGAGTGAGTAGGGGTTTCCTAGGGGTGAGTAGGGGTTTTCCTAGGAGTGAGTAGGGGGTTTCCTAGGGCTGAGAAAGGGGTTTCCTAGGGGTGAGTAGGGGGTTTCCTAGGGGTGCGTAGGGGGTTTCCTAGGGTTGAGTAGGGGGTTAGCTAGGGGTATAGGTATACCTGGCGGGCGGAGCAACACGCTCCACGTAGTTAGCGGGCAGCATGCCAGTGCGGCTGCTAGTAGGGGGAGGCTAGGGGCGAGTAGGGGAAGGCTAGGAGCAGGATTGTGAATCAGAATTTTCATTTTTGTGGCTAGTAGTGAGGCTTTGAGCGAGTATGGGGAGACTAAAGCCCGGTCCGTGTGCACGTAGAATTTTGTCCAATGACCCCTAGCTACCCATCCTTATCGTTCGCGCATATTATATTGCTGTCGCGACTGTGCGACTGTCACCCGCAGTGAGTGTGCGAGCACGATAGCAACATAATTACGCGCGAGAGATAAGGATGGGGTCATTGGACAAAATTCTACGTGCTCACGGACCAAACTATAGAAGCGAGTAGAGGTTTTCTATGTGTACCTGGCGGGCGCAGCAACACGCTCCACGTAGTTAGCGGGCAGCATGCCAATGCGGCTGCTAATAGGGGGATACTAGGGGCGAGTAGGGGGTTTATTAGGAGTGAGTAGGGGGTTTCCTAGGGGTGAGTAGGGGGTTTCCTATGAGTGAGTAGGGGTTTACTAGGGGTGCGTAGGGGGTTGCCTAGGGGTGATTTAGCTAAGAGTATAGGTATACCTGGCGGGCGCAGCAACACGCTCCACGTAGTTAGCGGGCAGCATGCCAGAGCGACTGCTAGTAGGGGAAGGCTAGGATCAGGATTGTGAATCAGATTTTTATTTGTGTGGCTAGTAGTGAGGCTAGGAACGAGTAGGGGGAGGCTAGAGGAGAGTAGGGGTTTCCTAGGGACAACTAGGGGTTCACTAGGTGTACCTGGCGGGCGCAGCAACACGCTCCACGTAGTTAGCGGGCAGCATGCCGGTGCGGCCGGTGCGGAGGACCTGCCCCGTCATCCAGCCCGAATCGATCGACGTCACGTTCGATATGTAGTCGCCTTCGCGGAACGACACCTGGAAATTAATTTTAGAGTTTAATAGTTGACTTGACATAATCAATTGTTACTTTTGAGAGTTAAAAACGTTGTATAGTTCTTGCAACTCACGAAGGCGAGTGAGCTTTACTTGTGTGTGTACGTGTACATGCACGTAACGATAGTGTAATGTCTCTCAAAACTTTTGAAAAACGAACAGTAGCGAGCCACCACACATGTAAAGCTCACTCGCCTTCGTGAATTGCAACAACTATGCATGCACTAAAATAAGACTTGTGACTATGCAGCATAGCTGAAAAAATGTCAAGCCGTGAGTACATAAATGTAACTCGTATAAAATATAAAAATTTCGCGTTGAAACCCGTGTTTCTCTATTTTAGTTGAAATGGAGCGCGAAAGTTTAAAATCTTTGTACACCACACATACTCACACATCACACTGTGTGATTATTATTTTGTGTCACAGAACATTTGTGTTACAACGTTTTTTGTGTCACAAAATAATAATGAAAGAAAGAAATACTCAAAAAATACTATAGTTATAAATAAAAACAATAAATCTTATTTAATTTCACTGTTCTTTTACGAGTAGTCAGAGAAATTGTGTTGGAATTATTGTAAAAGATGTCGGCTACAAAATAAAAAGTAGAATAGTAAAAAATTGAAGTATTTTGAACTAAGTTTAAAAATATCATGTTTTACTCACTTCGTCACTGTCGGTCGCTTCGTAGTCATACATCGCGATGTAAACACTCTGAAACAAATTGACATAAATAAATAAACAACATTAAAAATAAATAAATGAAATCAAAAAAAAATATTATAAATTTTGACCACTGGTGGCACTTATGAACGTCAAATACATTAAAAAAAGGTAGGCCTTAAGGGGCACTTTATATGTCTCCTTTTCTTTTGGGCCCTACCAGCTCTTCGAGTCGCTTTAGCAATCTTCTTTTGGTTTGATATCCTATTGCACAACGAATAGTTTTATCTGATGGAGAATTCTGACGTTAAAATAGTTAGACATCGTGTTGGCTACCTGTAGCGGCATGTTTTGGCGACTAGTAAGTTGTTTTTGGCATCCGGTAAGTTGTTTCTGGTAACTAGTAGGGTGGTTCTGGCGACTAGTAAGGTAATTCTGGCGACTAGTAAGGCAGTTCTGGCGACTAGTAAGGTAATTCTGGCGACTAGTAAGGTAGTTCTAGCGACTAGTAAGTTGTTTCTGGCAATTAGTAAGTGGTTTCTGGCGACTAGTAAGTGGTTTCTGGTGACCGGTAAGTTAGTTTCGACGACTAATAGGGTGGTTTCGACGACTAGTAGGATAATTCTAGCGACTAGTAAGGTGGTTTTGTCGACTAATAGGGTGGTTCATAAGATGACTATTTGTACAATGTTAGCTACCTGTGGCGGCGTGTTCTGATGGTTAGCCGGCGGCGGCGCGGGCTCATTGGCAGCGGGTCCAGGTCGATGACGCGGCCAATATGGCGGCTCGACTGCTGCTAGTATACTACTAAGACAGTGTGTGACTACTGTGTGGCGTGTTCTAACTACTTTTAAAAGTAGTGTTGGCTACATGTGGCGGCGAGTTCTGGCTACTTTTAAAGTAGAGTTGGCTAAGAGTAGGCGCACACCGTTGATTTTTATTTGGCCGATAGTTGCCCGATTTTAATTTGTATGAAGAATCGGCCAAATCTCCCATACATGCCCATACTGATCAACTGCCCGACTAAACTATCGGCCGACGAAAAATCAACGGTGTGCGCCTACTCTTAAGATGATTAGCGACTATTTGTACAATGTTAGCTACCTGTGGCGGTGTGTTCTGATCTGTGTGACTAGTAAGACTGCTGGCTACCTGTAGCTACGTGCTCTGGCGACTACTAAGACAGTGTATTAGCTGCCTGTGGCTGCGTGTTCTAGTTCTAGCTAGAACTAAAGAGTGTGTGGGTACCTATGGCGGCGAGTTCTAGCGACTAGACAATGTGTTGGCTTCCTGTAGCTACATGCTCTGGCGACTACTAAAACATGTTGGCTACCTTTACTAGCTTTTTATGGCGACTACTAAAACAGTATATTCGCTACCTGTGGCAGTGTATTCTGGAAACTATTAAAGAATTGTTATCTACCTGTGGCGGCGTGTTCTGGTGGTTAGCCGGTGGTGGCGCTGGTTCGTTCGCCAGCGGGTCCAGGTCAGTGACGCGGCCAATATGGCGGCTCGACTGCTGCTAGTATACTACTAAGACAGTGTGTGAGTACTGTGTGGCGTGTTCTAGCTACTTTTAAAAGTGTGTCAAAGCTATAAGTCTCAAAGTTGGCTTGTTTCTAGCTACTATTAAGATAGTAAACTACCTGTACCAGTGTTTTGTAGTGACTATATTAAACAAGTTGGCTAACTATGGCGGCGTATTCTGGCAACTATTAAAGTAATATTAGCTACCTGTGCGGCGTGTTTTAGCTACCATTAAGATGTTAACCTAGCTACCTGTAGCAGTGTTCTGTAGTGACTCTATTAAACAAGTTGGCTAACTATGGCGGCGTATTCTAGCAACTAAAGCCCGGTCCGTGAGCACGTAGAATTTTGTCCAATGACCCCAAGCTATCCATCCTTATCGCTCGCGCGACTGTGCGACGGGCGGCCGCAGTGAGTGTGCGAGCGCGATAGCAACATAATTACGCGCGAGCGATAAGGATGGATAGCTTGGGGTCATTGGACAAAATTCTACGTGCTCACAGACCAGACTATAGTAATAGTACGTTATCTACCTGTGGCGGCGTGTTCTGGTGGTTAGCCGGCGGCGGCGCTGGTTCGTTCGCCAGCGGGTCCAGGTCGGTGACGCGGCCAATATGGCGGCTCGACTGCTGCTGAGGCTGGTGAGCGCCTGAAACGTTGGGAAGCAAGGTTATTTGATGTTGAACCTTGCATTAGGAGAGGAAGGTTGAAAATAAAACGCTGGACTGCTGTTTCGGCTTCTGGGAGCCTGATATGTCACATTTAGGCTCAGTTTCGCGGAGCGGAGCGGAGAATTGTTTTGGACTAGCTTTCCGCCCGCGTGGAATTTTGTTTGTCACAGAAAACCTTTATCGCACGCGTCCCTGTTTCAAAAACCGGGATAAAATCTATCCTGTGTCCTTTCCCGGGATTCAAGTGAAATTCAAACATTCTCTATGCCAAATTTCATCAAAATCAATTCAGTGGTTTAGGCGTGAAAGCAAGACAGACAGACAGAGTTACTTTCGTATTTATAATATTAGTATAGATAAACCAATCAGATTTTATTCTGTCAATTTCATGAAACCGGGCCTTAGTCATTTTAAGTAAAAAAACAATCATTTTGCCGAGAGCCTGCAGTAAATAATTCATTGATTTTGAAACATTTTGAACTCGGTCAAGAATATTTTACTGTGTGCCTACCATGAGTTTACGTTAGGTGTGCTCGCTAGCGACTGCGTAAAAAAATGACATTTAAATGTATGACATACTCGTATTGTGCAGCGCCCCTAGCGGCTACTTTCAAGAAATAAAATCTTCATAGAATTTTTTGACGTATTCGCTAACGAGCTCACCTAACGTAAACTCATGGTAGGCACACTGTTCTATCTTTGCAAAAACTGTATTATTTGCAAAAAGTGTATGGCAATTTGCGAAAATTACTAACAATAGACATTAAAACGACATTTGAACTAAAGTATTGAAAAAGATCTTGGCACATATCTTTAACTGGCAAAAAAGTTGATGAAACTACCATTCTTCAATCAAATGAAATTGAAAAAAAAAAGAAACTAGTGCCAATCAGTGATGTTTTTGCACTAAACTCAGTGATGCACTTCAAGAAGTTGCATTGTGTAGTAACTCGTAATTATGATATTGCACCTAAGTGAATTAGTAAATACCCAGTTTTTTATTCGTAATTCAATAACCAATTGGCTAAATAATCCTAAAGATTATACAGTCAATAAACCTAAATTTTCGTTGCAAAATATCTTTTAGAGTAGGCGCACACCGTTGATTTTTAGTTGGCCGATAGTTGTGCCCGATTTTAAATTGTATGAAGAATCGGCCAAATCGAATCGGCGTAGTGTGCGCACTCCCATACATGCCCATTCTGATCAAGTGCCCGACTAAACTATCGGCCGACGAAAAATCAACGGTGTGCGCCTACTCTTAAAGTCATAGCAGACTTATCAACTCGGAAAGGGATCAACCCCGTATCGCCTTTCGCGAGCTGTCATCGGTTTTCGCGCGCTGTCAACCGCGAGGCGAGGCGTTTACGTTACGGTGCGGATAAGTGTGCGTTGTAGTATGGAGTTTCATACAAAGAATACTGACCTCCTCGAGTTGATACGGTTACGATCCCTTTCTGGGTTGATAAGTGTGCTGCGTCCATAAATATAGGTCGCACAATGAAACTTGGGGCGAACATAAACTCACACCAGTGTAATATTTGAATTCAGAACACACAAATCAGTCAGAGAACGCAAGACGTCTCGACAAGCGTATACAGATATAGATGACCCACGCTGAACTGTCCCGCCAAACTCAATGACAGGGGGGCGCTACCATCGTTCAACTATATGGTTTCCAACATAGCAAAAATCTGAACCAGCGATCCGGTATTGACGGTGGCGCCCCGCTGTCAATGTCATCGACAGGACAGTCCAGTATTTTGGAACTATACAAATATTTGCTTGTGTTGATCGCATCAACTCTTGGTGCGCGAACTATACAAAACATAAGATGTCATGGTGTTTATTTTAACCTGGGTTGTACCATCTTACTTTAACTAACGAACGTCAAAAAAGTCTGTCAAACTCTATACAAAAAGATCGGTTAGGGTTATAGTTACGGTTAATGTAAGATAGGTGCAACTCAGCCTTAGAGTAGGTTACACCATCTTACTTTAACGTCAAAAGTCTGCCAAACTCCATACAAAAAGATCGGTTAGGGTTATAGTTACGGTTAAAGTAAGATAGGTGCAACTCAGCCTTAGTCTGGGTTTCACCATCTTTCTTTATAACAATAACATAACAAACATCAAAAAAGTCTCTCAACCTCCATACAAAAACACCGGTTATGGTTACAGTTACGGTTAAAGTAAGGTGGTACTGCAAGCCTTAGTCTTGCCCATAACCAAAGCAGAATCAAAAACGCATGCATGACAAAATGGATGATGAAACAAACCTCTTTTTCCATCACTAGTGCTGTTATAAATGAGGGTGGCAGACGCCCTTTGGGTATTAGGCGGCGCCCTAGGCCCATCACTGACTGGATCGTAATCCTGAATCCTGCCAATCTTGGGCTGCCCGCCCGCCCCATACTGATACTGATTCTGATTCTGGTACTGCTGAGGGTACTGATTCTGATTCTGGTACTGTTGAGGGTACTGATTCTGATTCTGGTACTCGTACTGGTATTCTTCGTACTTCTTGTACTGGTCAGGATATTGGTTCTGCCGTTGAGTCTGCTGCTGATACTGAGCGTTTTGCTGGTATTGGGGCGCTTGCTGGTATTGGGGCGCTTGCTGGTATTGGGGCGGTGGTGGCTGAGTCTGGTATTGGACTGGGGGCTGGTATTGAGTAGTGGGCGTCTGGTAGTGGTTCTTGGGGGGCAGATTCGGCACTGGTACCGTAGGAGGCAGCATTTCCGTCGCGTAATTCTCGATTTGCTGATGGTAGTTGTCGCTTGGCACTTCTTTACACATAAGCGGGACAAACCAAACGATTAGAACACAAATGGTGGTGGGGGATTGGAGAAACTTGAGATAGCTATTAACTGATGAAAATTAGGTTCTTTAACTATCTAAAAACTCACTAGAGCACTTAATTTTTAAGGAATATTAGTAATTACATGTCTATAGTCTGGTCTGTGAGCACGTAGAATTTTGACCAATGACCCCAAGCTACCCATCCTTATCGCTCGCGCGTAATTATATTGCTGTCGCGACTGTGCGACGGGCGCCCGCAGTGAGTGTGCGAGCGCAACAGCAACATAATTACGCGCGAGCGATAAGGATGGGTGGGTAGCTTGGGGTTATTGGACAAAATTCTACGTGTTCGGAGACCGAGCTTTAGTCATTTAAACACCTCGATTTACGATAAATATGCTTGTGTTACGAGTGGGTTCACCACAATAGTCCAGCAGCATCTGACTTCGAACTAATTCGCAACACGAAAAAAGTTCGAAAAAAGTATTACTATCTCAAATTTCTCCCATCAAAAACGAACAGTTAACATATATGAGACTCATCGCCATAATAATGTTGCCATGATGTATTGAATGGGTCCACAATCCAACATTTATGGGGGTGTAACGATTTGTGTGGTTTTAAAAACATTGTGCGCTGTGAGAGAAGTGATATTATTGAATGAAACAAACCATGGCTGGCTTTTAAAAATGTTTCTCACATAAACTTTTGCTTTTCGTTCGATGGATCAAATTTTTGAAAAAAAAAAATTAAGTAGTTACAAAGAAAAACACATTGAATCATTTACAACAACGTTACAAAAAGTAAGTTGCTTCAATAATTTGATCATCGAATGAACAGCTTTATTGTGATAAGAAATAAAAACAATCCTCCACTTTAGACAAAAACCAACGATTATAAAAAATCACCAACTAGTTCAGGGGCCTACTCTAAAACGCTGTTTACGTAGTTCGAGTCTGCTGTCACCGTCGCTCATTCAGGCAGCTCGCTTTGTGTGAAAGAAATGGCGACATTTGAAACTTCGTATAACGAAGTAGACCCTCTGAACCTAACAAACTATAGATCGTTTCATCCACGAAGACGCGCCCCACTAATTTTTGGTCGAAGGAAACGCGGGGTGCGGGGAGTTTGATTCAAGCAATCTGAGCGTCATTATTGTAGTGTGCGTGTACGCTCATGGATAATTTAGCGTGTACCGATAACACTCAAACATTAGCGGAAGAATGGTGGGACGCGTCTTCGTGGATGAAACGATCTAAAGTCCGGTCGCCGGGCACGTAGAATTTCGTAGCTTGGGGTCATTGAACGAATTCTATGTGCTCGGCGACCGGATTTTGTAGTTCAAAACCTATCCAACTGTTAAGAAACTCACCAACTAGTTCTCCATTCTCGTTGAGCGTCCTCTGCTTCTCCATCTGGGCCTTCTTCTCCAGATCTCCGTGGTAGGCCACGTTGCTGATGATCTTTGTGTTCGCCTTGATTCTAAGGGTTTCTGGGTCGTCGGCGACCTGAAATGTAATGGAAAAATCTTTGTTTATCACGTGTAATATGAGAATAATCACTCAAAAAAGATTTTATACTACATAAATAATTTATCTTTGCATCCAGGGGCAGACCTCTCTGAAATGCACGCCAGAGCGCAACAAAATTTTTGTTCTAAACATTTTATTAGTACCTACTTAGTTCATAAAAGTGTATAGTCTGGTCTGCGAGCACGTAGAATTTTGTCCAATGACCCCAAGCTACCGTCGCGACTGTGCGACGGACGCCCGCAGTGAGTGTGCGAGCGCGACAGCAACATAAGGATGGGAGCTTGAGGTCATTGGACAAAATTCTACGTGTTCACAGACCGGGCTTTAGTAGTAGTTTGTAGTAGTTCATAGAAGTGTTTTGTAGTAGTTCATAGAAGTGTTTTGTAGTAGTTCATAGAAGTGTTTTGTAGTAATTCATAGAAGTGTTTTGCAGTAGTTTTTTGCAAGTATGCAAGTATTTTGAAGTAAGATCATAGAAATGTTTTGTAGTCGTTCATAGAAGTATTTTGTAGTAGTTCATAGAAGTGATTTGTAGTAGTTCATAGAAATGTTTTGTAGTAGTTCATAGAAGTATTTTGTAGTAGTTCATAGAAGTGTTTTGTAGCAGTTAATAGAAGTGTTTTGTAGTAGTTCATAGAAGTGTTTTGTAGTAGTTCATAGAAGTGTTTGTTAGTAGTTCATAGAAGTGTTTTGTAGTAGTTCATAGAAGTGTTTGTTAGTAGTTCATAGAAGTGTTTTGTAGTAGTTCATAGAAGTTTTTTGTAGCAGTTCATAGAGATGGTTACCTGTGTGAACTTCCCCTTGCTCTTCTCGAAGTCGGCGTGGTACTTGACGTTGCTCTGCAGCTTGGTGTTCTCCGCTATCCGCTTCAGCTCCGGCGTCTCCGCCATTGTGGTGGGCTTCGCTTTTGGCACGTGTCTGGAATGGCATTGATAAATATTAATAACTAGCTTTCCGCCCGCGGCTTCGCTCGCGTGGAATTTTGTCTGTCGCAGAAAAACAATATCGCGCGCGTATTTGCTCACCGTTTAGACCTACCCTGGACTACGACAAACATTTTAAAACCAAAATCAGCTCAATCGGCCCAGCCGTTCTCGAGTTTTAATCAGACTAACGAACATCAATTCATTTTTATTTATATAGATAGAAGAAGAAGATGTGTGGTTTTGGCAGAGTACCGAAACAAATTGGACCTTCACTGGTTGGGTTTTTATTGGCGGTCAAGTTGTAGATCCTGGTTACACAAGAGTTGCAGCGGTAGGAACGAGAGTTGGGAATAGTCCCGTTCTGGCCGTCGGCACTCCCTCTAGTCTATGGATGTCGTAAAAGGCGACAAAGGTACAATAAATACGCGAACGTCAGGCCTCCCCAACCCGTCTGGCCAGCGTGGGGAGTGTAGGACAAATCCTCCATTTGCCTCTGGTCAATTAGAGAGTGAGTGCTTCTGCAGTGAAGACTAAATGTCCGACATTAATGAAGACATTAAGTCCGCCACTGTACATATGCATGTGCAAAAGTGTAAATAAATAAATAAAAATAAAATAAATGGCCTAAATATGATGCAAAGTATAAAAAAAATATTCTATTAAGCAACTATCTTTTGCCCGAGGTTTCACCGCGTAAATTACGGTCTGCGATAGCCTATGTTACTCAGTAATAATGTACCATTCTTATGGTGAAAGATTTTTCAAAATCAGCCAGTAGTTGTAGAGTTCATTCGTTACAAACATACTAAAATACTTTTACAATTACACATAAAAGCGAAAGGTCACTGACTGATTGACTCACTCACTCACCACGAAATCTCAGAAACTACATACATGTGCTAGGTGTCTCAAATTTTGCATGGGGGTTCCTTTTAGAACGAAGGTGCTCACTAAGAATGGATTTTACGAAACTCCACCCCTAAGGGTGTAAAACGGGATCCACGCATACGAAGTCGCGGGCGGCCGCTAGTATTATTATAATTTTATAACGATTATACATTATACATTTACATATTTCACCTCGTATACCAATAACTGGCAACAAAAAAACAATAAAAAACAACTGCCGCTATAACGCGGCGTGACAACAAAAATGGCAAAAAACAATTTCCCGGTGACAAAGTAAAAGTATACGAAATTGTCGCTGCTTTCGTTTGCACAGATAATCACGCGATTGTCGCAAAAAAATTACAGGCGATATTGATCGATCAGTGTAATCTATAACTGTACTAATGTTTTATGCTAGTGAGGATGAACTAGATTTTTATATTTCGTTAGGCAAAAATTAAATTCTTCCCGCGTAAACGGTGTGTCACAGACATTAGCGCGCTTATTCCTTTTTCAAAAACCGGGATAAAAACTATCTCATGATTTTTCCTGGGTCTAAACTAACTCTATGGTGGTTAGAGCACAGATTATTAATAAGTTGCTAGAGATAGAAAATTCATCTAAATCGGTTCAAGCGTGAAAAGGTTAGTAGGTGAAATTGTCGGTTTGTCTCTTACCACGCCTAAACTACTGAACCAATTTTGATGAAATGCATAGTGATAGTTTGAAACTTAAGGCAACATAAAGATCATTCCGGTATTTGAAAGGCGCGCAAAACTGCGTGCAAAAGCTAGTAAACTACTTTTGATTAATTAATTAATTAAGTAGGTGCTTATTAAAGGAAAAAAAAAAGATAACTTATTTGGTATCAACTCAACAACAATAACTTAATTAGGCTGCTTTTTATCAAGATTTACGCGGGCAGAAATCTATAAAGTATGAAGTAGTTTTGTCATTGCAGTAATCGAATTCTTAACTATGTTAATTAACCTACTTCGCAAATCAATCGATCTGGCGATATCGATTCTATCTTTCTCTTTCACTCTGCCTGTAAAAAACTCACTTATGCAAGTAGGCTTTTAAAAATCACTTTTACACGTCCCAGTATTAACCCTACCACTGCTTCGGGACAATAAATTGGCCAGGGCCAAAAAGTTCGCAACACGTCTTTGTTACAATGAGGATCATTTCGATTTTTAGCTGTGAATGCAGATTTATAGGGCTAAGAAATCCTTAATACACAGTGCAAAAATTTTTGTTCTACGACAAAAATTGACGAAGTTATGGCCAAATTACTAAAAAAGTTCACTGAGGGACGATGACGTCATTATATCCGATCCGAACGCTGCCGGCGTACTGCGTGGATAGAAAATATTTTTTTCTAGCCAAATTATCAGTTTTAGAGAAAAACTTGTAATGACATTTATTCATTAGAATAAAGTAAGCTATCGATAGGTAATTTTTAAAAATGGAAATTGTGAAAAATAACGCNCCCAACCGCGTCTCCGCATTGCATCGAATCCTATGAAAATGTGGTTTTTGGACATAGCAATACTTATTTTTCACAATTTTTATTTTTAAAAATTACTGGTCGATAGGTTACTTTATTTTGAAGAATAAATGTTATTAAAAGTTTTTTTCTAAAACTGATAGTTTAGCCGGAAAAAAATATTTTCCATCCCATTAGTACGCCGGCTGCGCTCGATTCGGATATAATGACGTCACGCGGCCTTGCGTACGTTGACTTTTAGCGGCAAAAACGGCCTATGTTTATTACTTAATATCTTCGTAAGTAATGGTCCGATTTGGATAATTCAAAAAGATATATCTTTCTTATGTCTTAAAGATTAACGTAGATACTAGTTTTATTGAATTTTCTACAACAGTACTGATCCTCATTGGAATAAGGTTGTTGTCAACATTTTGGCCACTTTGGGTGTCACGAATTATTAAAATTTGATGCTGACTGTGTGTAAAAGAGACAGTTATAAATACAATATCGAAATCATACTAAGCAGGACCTTCACTCCTAACCTCCTAACGTTACCGTGACATAATATCCATTGAATGTGTATTAAAATCAACTTTAAACTCATAAGCATAGAGCTGATTATGACATGATTTTATAAGTCCATTCAATAAACGGTGATAGCTATTACGAAAGACATAAGGTCGGTATTGTGCAATAGACTAAGAGCTAGTGAACGCCAGACCTACGTCATTTTATAAAAGCTGAAAGTTTGTCAGCGTATGCTCCCAATATAGGATAGAATGTTGGTGATCATGAAGTTTGGGTCATCGTGGCTTTGGCAGCTATCCTAAAAAAACTTTCCGGCAAGGAGTTGGAACTGTCAAAACTGTCTGGCTGATGAGGAAGCTACTTCTAATTATTGCCCTAATATTTTATATAAAAAGTTCATCCCCAATTTTCCACCCTTGGGGGTTGTTTTTTTTTATTATTAAATTTAAATGGGACCACCCTTGAGGTATTACCTATACGCCGAAAAAAGATTTGTTCAAATGGGTTCATAATTGGCGGAATTATCGCGTAACAAACATAGAGAAAAAAAAAATACATACGGGTCGAATTGAGAACCTCCTCCTTTTTTGAAGTCGGTTGAAAATCAGCTTTTATGGTATAAAAACGTAAGCCTAACTTTTACGGTGGCTTTTTCTGTATATTCAATAGACTGTAATTCTACTTACGTTATTATACCACAGTCTGATTTTCGACAGTTCCAACTTCTTGCCAGGCAGTTTTTTTAGGATAGCTCAGATAGCTGTCAAAGCCACGATGACCCAAACTTCATGATTCACCAACATTCTCCCCTATATTGGGAGCATACGCTGACAAACTTTCAGCTTTTATAAAATGACGTAGGTCTGGCGTTCACCAGCTCTTAGTCTATAAGCATACGCGGTCACTTTCATTTTTGTTTCGCTACATCACATCACGTGTTGGTCAACTCAACAGCATGTGGTGTTAGTTGGGAAAGTAAATAGAATCTTTTTGCGCGGGAAAATTTTTCGCGCGCTGAGTTTTTTTTTTCATAAATTCACGGCTTGGGACTAAATAAATATCCTTGGACATTTACACTGCGCTTCTAGTCCCAAACTAAGCAAAGCTTGTACTATGGCTACTAGACAACGGATATTAATATACTTAAATATTTTTTTTTGTAAATACATACTTATTATACATAGAAAACACCCAGTCCAATACAAACAAATATGTTCATGCACACAAATGTTTGTACTGTGCGGGAATCGAACCCGCTACCTCCGGAATAGTAGTCCGTTTCGAACCACTACACCAAACGGCCGAAATCTTTTAGCACTGAAAATTTAGTAAGCATTTTTAGTTCTATTCTACGCAAAAGTTATGTATTGCATGGTTTAACCTTTACTCAAACTCGATTAGGAAAACCCTGTTTTTTGTTAGAGCAGTTTTTCATTTTTTTAAACTAAACATAAAATAAAACAGATCGTCCTAAATAGATTTCTGTGAATAAACTAAATTATTTTATACAGCTGTCGAAAAAACATTTGTACTTACGGAAAATTGAGTTTTCCTTAAATGTTTCATACAAAACAGCATCAGTTTCAGGGTAAAGATTAAAGGATATCCTGAATTTTCATGACATCAAATTAAAGCATAGCTAGAATAGGTATTATTATTTTCTCCCTTTCCTTCCTTGTAACATTTTAGATGCAAATTCATAAATTATATCATCTAACTTGAACATATTAATACCTATTTGTAATATAGCTTCCTGTTTTGTTCAAAAATAAATTTGGCACGATAATGACCTTCCATTATTATTTTGTAATTAACGAAGGTAACAGAAATAAATTAATATCATAAATTATAATGAACTCTTCAACAAACTACTGGACAGATTTTGATGAAACTTTAGAATATTATTGCTTGTGCCACAGAATGATTATGTGCCATAATGTAATGCTTGTGTACAGTCGCGGAATGAAAAGGTTCGTCACCTTAGTGTCGGTTTTCGCTTGCACTAGGTACTGTAAGAGTCAAACCTGCCAACATAACAGTGCAAGAAACAGTGCTGCTAACATTTAAATAAATATGACGTTATTGCTAACGAATAAGGTTTTGCTTGTTTATTTTTCTATCCCATCAGTGCAATGCAATAATGACATTGACCAATTGACAATAGTTTTTTTATTTAATAGAAATAATAATGGCAGGTTGAACCAACAAGAAGGTTTTAGTTTATCAATCATAATAATCTTCTTGACAAGATAAATCGTCAAACAACTTTGATCTGAATAATTTTGAACTTTACTGACGAACAGTTAAAGATTATTTTCTCTAACTCGAGATTATTCTGTAACATAGTTTCAAAAGGTAATATGTGCTCGCGATTCGTTGAAGGAATCAATTTGAAAACTGACGAACCTTTTCATTCCGCGACTGTACATCAAATATTTCAAACGAGAAAGTTAGAAACTTTGTTACTTCAAGTTTTTTTAATGCGTAACAAGGCAGGTATTTGACCACAATCGCACCTGGTGTTAAGTGGGATGCAGTCTAGGATGGTACATATCTGCCCTGTAAGTGCCTATTCACTCTCGCCTTGAAAAAGCCCGGATTAAAATTAAAGTTACGAGTAATTCAGGGTCTTTATTTATTTATCATCATCAGATCACACTCTTTTTTCGCTCGTATCAGCTAAATGAAGTCCACTGCTGGACAAAGGCCTCCCCCAAGGATTTCCATAATTTCCTTTCCACCCTCTTATTTACCAAAGACAAATGGATGATTCGGTCCACGCTGACAAAGCTCAATGCAAGGTAGGTTATTAATTAATATTTTATACGAATACCTACAATTACGTAAACTTATGAGGGACACCCCATCATGAGTTCGTGACTTCAAAGCATTAGTCACACAGTAAAATCATTTGCAAAATTCCTACAGAGCTACGTGGCTATTTCAGTCAGTAAAACCACAGTACGTCATAGCACGCGTTTCAGCAGTTCTTAGAAGTTAACAATTTCCTAATTTTGGATTGAAACTAATGGTGTTAATACATGCAACGCTGTGTGTGTAGTAAATAGGCATTTTTTCAAGGAAAAATTGAATATTCACTTGAAAATTGTAATTTACCTACGTAAGCATGCATCATATCTCTTAGGCTCCCACATAAAATGGGACCCATTTTTTTTCAGTAGAAAAAAAAATGCTCACATTACCAATATTTAACACATTCATCATCATCATCATCATTTCAGCCACAGGACGTCCACTGCTGAACATAGGCCTCCCCCAATGATGGCCAGATTGACCGGTTGGTAGCGTTAACACATTAAATGCAAACATCTCAATATCCTAAAAGATTTTTTGATGAACATGGAAAAAAACTAAGCTAGTCTATTCGTTAGAAAAATCTTAGGATATAGTTTAATTTTTTTAAGGCAGGTATTTGACCGCAATCGCACCTGATGTTAAGTGGGATACAGTCCAGGGTGGTACATATCTGCCCTGTAAGTGCCTATTCACTCTCGAAACAAAATAAAAGTAAACACTCACGCTTCACAATAAGGTAGTTTTCCGTATCCCTTGTAGGTCCTCATGTTGAGCGTCATCCCGCACTCCTGACATTTGAAACAGCCTTTGTGCCAAACCTGGAACAATTAATTTGTGATTAGAATAACAGAACAGAGTAAATCTTTATTTGAAATAACAAAAAAAAACCATAAAGCTTAGGCGCAGTCCACCGACTTTTAGTTGGCCGATTTGAGTCGGGCTGTTAATCAGTATGGAGATTATGAGAGTGCGCACATTACACCGATTTTGTATCGGCCGATTCTTCATACAAATTAAAATCGGGCACAACTATCGGTCAACTAAAAGTCGGTGGTCTGTGCCTAGGCATACCTATATAGAAAAGAGGCACCTTTTTTGCTTTGTGCCAAAAAGGACACTCGCTCAGTATTATCCCGCCAACTAAATCACTGGTCATTCTTTTTTTATTACTCAAAGTTATTAAGTAACATTAACAAATAGTAGTAGCAGTACTACCTAGTAGTCAAAGTACAGACAATGGCATATAAAGCTAAACACACCTCTTTTTAAAATGTATTAGGTGTTATTTTTCATGTTTTTACTTGTAATTTGTCAACTATCTTGGAATTATCCATAAAATTGACCTAAAAATTACTTCTATATTATAGAAATATGTAGGTCAATTTTATGAACCTCCAAGGTGTTTTCAAAAAACGGATGCAAAAGCTTCCAAGGCAATGAACGGGTTAACATCACATTTACACCACAAAGTAACACTATAAACATAAAAACTAACAATAATATAAATTGCCGCAATCAGACATCAAAATGGACAATAAAATCTTCGCAACAATTCTGAAACGTTCTGTGAACTTTTCACAAGTATCAACTTTGCACATTGATGCGTTACGTTATAATTTGTTAACAGATCTGTCTAGGTTACTGGCGACTACATAAATGGTTTGGACATAGTAGGTTCGTCATCATCAGGTCATTGTAGTCTACACTCAGGAGCACGACCCTCTCTATAGTCTGATCTGCGAGCACGTAGAATTTTGTCCAATGACCCCAAGCTGCCCATCCTTATCTCTATGCGCGTCGCGACTGTGCGACGGACGCCCACAGTAAGTGTGCGAGCGCGACAGCAACATAATTACGCGCGAGCGATAAGGATGGATAGCTTGGGGTCATTGGACAAAATTCTACGTGCTTTAATTTGATAGAGTTAAGTGGAGGATTTGGTCTACACGCTGGCCAATTTATACTCAATCAGGGTAGGGTTACCACTATTATTATCTCATGATTTATCCTAAGAATCCAGTACTTCTGAACTCTCTTCTCTGCCAAGATTACGGAGAATAATAACAATGAAATTAGATTTGTAGAGTGAAAAACTGAATTGTGACAAATTCTTCGGATTTTTCGAAGAAAATCTCAGGTTTCTTTTTAAACGTTTTATCATCATCGTTTTATTCAAATGAAGTCCACTGCTGGCACAACGGCATCCCCCAAGGAGTTCAATACGAGCTGGAAGACGTACGGTGGGCAGACCCTCCACTAGGACCTCCTTGATCTGGTGAATATCACCGGTCATTTTATCGAATAACTTTAAAGTTTTAAAGAGCCACGTAACGTAAAGTTGAAGGGCAGCTAGACTACAGGACATACCAGCGTTGCCAGACGTCCCGATTTTTAAATCAAATTTAAATGTACCGCGCGGGAGACCCGCGGGACAGGCTCGGTCCCGCTTTTCGGAGAGAGACACTCACTTCACCAGACTATTGTTTGAAACGCCATATTATTCTAAAGAAAAAAACTTTTTTAATTTTTTTCTTTTTTTATTCTAAAGACGAATTTAAAGATAGAGCAAATCTGATTTAAAATATTATTTTTTTGTTAAAATACATTTTCTATGTCTACTTTTGCTATCTATTGTCATGTAAACGTAATTTTAAGTCAAATAAAAAGATAAATATTTGACAACCTTTGATTATGTATACGTTTTTTTACTATGTCCCGCTTCTGACGGAAGAATCTCGCTATTTTCACTCAAAAAGTACCAAAGTCCCGACTTGGCGAAAAAAAAAAACTGACAACGCTGGGACATACCTACCTAGTCATTTGGGAAGAGACTACTGATCATACATCAGCTGTGACAGTTAGCACACCGTCCCACTTCTCAGAGCATAATGCCGACACTTCGTTAGGTAACAATGGACTGCTGAGTCGACCGGTTGGTGCTTCGTACTCGTATTGGTGTTAAATGGGCTCTAAACTTTGGTGTTCAAGGGGTATCCAAAATTTCACGTTTCAATATCAAAGAACGAATCACCTAGAAGTTGGTCCACGATCATGGTTAGTTTTCTTTGGATATAGATTTTAACCGAATAGCAAAAATGTAACTGTATCGCTTTTTCATACATTGTTTTGGCTACTTGGGTTTTTTTGGCGTTCAAACAGTAGATTTTGGAATCTTGAAAGGGAGCTACAGTGGTGTGAACGAGAGCTGGAAATAGACCTCGCACTTCTACACTTTTTAGTAATTTGAATGAAAGATAGAAGAAACTATATTTATTTGTTACCAAAAATAAAACTATAAATAATTTGGGAGTATGTACTTAGAACGACTAAGTACATACTCCCAAATTATTTATAGTTTTCTTCGACGTCGTTTCAGTCAAATGATGTCTATAGCTGGAAAAAGGCCTAATTTTTTGACAATTTTTTTATCCCATTCCATTGGAACTTCTAAATGGTCTTTACATGCTGGTAGCCTGAATATAGCAACTAGTACTTCAATGCTCCACATCCACAAGCACGCCGATTAGCGGTCCACACAATGCAAACGGCGAGCGAATTTGGAGCGAGTTGCATCATCGGAAGTTGATCGAGTACGTTCAATTTTTAATTTCGATCGCAATTAAACTCCTTTTTAGTGTACCCGATGAAAGAAAAAAAAACCCAAAAAGATGACCGGAAAGTGCAGCGTCCACCCACAACGTGGACCGACGACCTCATAAAGGTAGCAGGAAAGCGCTGGATGCAGGCCGCTACCAACCGGTCATGGTGGAAATCATTGGGGGAGTCCTATGTTCAGCAGTGGACGTCTTATTGCTGAAATGATGATGACGACAAAAGTGATAGATTCTAACACTGCTTCTTTTAAGCTCAATGAAAAAGATGTTGACATGGAATGATTGAGTGTTTTACGCTACTTTTTCTCAGCACTGGCCTATTTTTTGTCCCGAAGCAGTGGTCGAGTTAAAATTATACTGGGACGTGTAAAAGCGTATTTTTTCCTAGAATAAAGTGAGGTTTTTAAAGTCTACGAGTCGATAAAAGTGCTTTTCAAAAATCAAAATTATCTTTATTTGTATAGACTAATTAAATAGTACAAGACTTACAAATCGTCAAATGCTCTTAAGGAGCCTATACATGTCTCATTCTTTTTTTGCTCTACCAGCGCTTCGAGACAAACATTTGCAAACAAAAGCCTAAAAAATAAATTGGCGACCTTTTTTAAGTCTATCAAAGGGACAGTCGGTTTGTCTGTCTTATAAAGTAATAGGTAGACACAATTTAGGCGGTCTTATAGCCAGGATGCTATCACTTCATCATTACATAAGTATCATAGGACCAAATGATATTATTAACCTCTCTTGTGACGTCAAAAACCTGCAGAATAGACCCTCAAGGGTCAAAATGCTGAAAATCAATTAATAGCACTCCGGTACATCAAGCCAAGTGTTATCTTATGCAGTTCCAATACGGACTATATTCCAACAAAAATGCATAGTCCGATCTGTGAACAGTTCACATAGATTACACTACAATGCGCAAGCGTCGCATCTACTAAATTGGGGCATTACGTCATCCGGACCTTGCTGATAACTGATAGAGGAGTTAAATATTGTCCGAGCGATTATCACTAAGGCGATAATGACTTTGGAATTAAATGGATCAGAAAATGTTAGGTTACAGTGGCATTTTAGTCTGTTAACCGTAAAATTCATTTGGGACCGGGTTTTGACTGGGTTTTGGTTGGATGGTTATTCGTCGTAACTAAGAAATGAAGGTTCTGGTTGACGGTGACTTTCGCCAGATATTTTTATCTGAGACCTGAGAGAAATTTTACCTGACAGATAAGTTTTTCTCAGACTTAAACTACCAGATTTTTTTTTCATTGGCGGCCAAGCTGTAGATCCTGGCTACACAGGAGTTGCAGCGGAACAAGAGGTAGGAATAGTCCCGTATCACCTTTTTACTAACATTTTTTTACTTAAAAATAGCCAAATTGATCCAGCAGTGCTTGAGTTTCGTTTTTTTTAAATACATTACGCAAAAACATGGGTTAATTGAAGAAGTGTCCATGATAATTTTTACTATTTTTAAACGGATTTTGGATAGAATCTCTAAAAACTACATTATAATAAAAGTAGGTATGACACCACAAATGCAGGTAGCCTAACCAATCTGTAACTGGGTACATTATAAACGCTTTCATTAGAGGAAAAGCCTCGTAAATCTCAGAAACTGAAAATTAAAGTACCATCAAAATTTAAAGTAGCATGTGAAAGTTTTTGTTCTGTTTGTTACGATTTCACGCCTTATTGCTGGATCAATTTTGATGAACTCTGGCGTAGAGACAGTTGGACAAAGAAAGGATATTAAGCTACCTAAATAGGAGATAAAAGTTTGTAAAGAAAATTCATCATTCGTGAGCGAAGGGGAAAATTCATCATTTGTGAGCGAAGGGGAAAATTCATCATTTGTGAGCGAAGGGGAAAAATCATCATTTGTGAGCAAAGGGGAAAATTCACCTTTTGTGAGCGAAGAGTATGTGGGTTGTTGTAACAAATATTTTTAGTAATGATATTGGTAAGAAATTAGGGATTTGATTGTGGGACGCACAATTCTGCGGCATTTCTCATTATACTTTAGAACCTATTGACGTCATCAGGTGCGTTTGAAATATTTTATAACTGAAAGGGAAATACAATTTTTCTTTTTGTTCACTTAGGATTTTTAGTGTCCTCATTTCACCTCTGAACCATTTCACTTTATTTTCGTCGCCTTTGTTCACCTAGGTAGGAATTAATTCACCCAGGTGAACAGATGC